AGAAATTGCCAGAACTCCTTCAACACTGTAGGGTTAATTTACTAAAGGCAAATGGGTTTCTTACTTCACAAGGGTATTTGCACTTTGCAGGGGAGGTTCCCTCTTAGCTTAGTGAATGAAGTGAAGCTCTTCAGATTTCCATCATGACCAATCATGACCAAGCAAAATGCAGTTCTTTTTATTTTCCTTGTACATAAATTGGTATTCTTTGCAAATTGAAATTTAATCATATAATCAAGCTAAGGGAATTTTTTCCTACAAAGTGCAAAGTGAACAGACTGTGACAGTTGCTGGTTGGAGCCCACTGTACGTCAATAACTCATGACTATTAACAGTTCCAAACCGACCAAGCCATCACAAGGAGGTGGAGATATGTTTTTTGTGATAGTTATATAAGGTTAGTAAATCAACCCATATGCATCCGAAAGGGTTATACATAGAATTGGATTTAAACTGTTTCCTAAGTGATGAATGAGAAAATCTATCACCTCTGTTATGGAATTATGTAGGTTTTATAGAATACATTGTACATGTCTGGGGCAGATATGATTAGAATTAAGAATAATATTCGCATTTTTTGATTTTATAAGTATATTCCTCGTTTACCATGGTTTTTATTCCCATTTTTTTAAATTAAAGATAATTTCTATGGTTATATCAACAGCTTTAGAAGTTAATAGAGACTTCACCTTATTGGATAAAATTAAGTATAGATTACATTTCTTTTAACAGGTTAAATATATACTTAATATGGTTTTATAGTGTATTATTGTAATTTCCAGATAGCAGCATCTAGTGCCCATTTAGGTTATTGCAATTAATAGTATAAATAAGCAGGGAGAGACTGTGACAGCATGCAAACCTCCCTTTGAGAAAGTTAATTGATGATGAAACGCGTCATGTGGGTGTGCCCAAGCTGTCACAACGCTGCATCACTATCCTCAGCCACAGCAACAGGAAGTGTAAGAATGGCTTCACATAGGTTCTCTATCTGGAGGGGAGACTGAACTAGGGCTTATGGATTTTGGATAGTGTGAGCGGCTTTTACAAAGAGATCCGTATTCATATGGAAACGCTATTTGTGAGAAATTGGAAATGTGTTTGTAACCATTTTTAATAAAGCATGTAAAAAGGGTTTTACACAATGTTGGATTTTCTATCTCTTTCCTAAGCAGTACATAAATCCTAATTGAGCTCTGGATACATATTACTGTCTGCTGTGACCTGGGATCGCTGCATATCTCTGGGACCTGTAGCATTACAAGGCCGACCATATAACATGTATGGTCTCTTTCTGAGTCTGCGGTACATGAAATCCTAATTGAGCTCTAGATACATATTACTGTCTGATGGGACCTGGGGTCTCTGCATATCTCTGGGACCTGTAGCAATACAAGGCCAACCATCTAACACATATGGCCTCTCTCTGAGTCTGGTGAGTGCGGTGTGAAGTGTGGTGACAGATATTTTATACACGACACTAAGAGGTGGACTTATACTATGGACACAATAGATGCTTGTTGATCTCAGAATGATGGTTAATGAGCACTGCGTGATTTAAGCATCTGTGTTTTTTTTTTTTCAAAAGACTTTTCTTCAGAACTCTATATACTAGATGACTGTTTATTTCTTGTTGAAGGAATGGACTTTTTTTCTATTGGTTTTATGTAATTTTCATTCATAGTTTGAGACATTGGTGATATTATTGCACGTTGACACTTTAGCACAAAATTGGGATAACCAGGCTAACTGTGGGTGGGAGTGCAGTGAACTTGAGATAATATTTGAATTGGATGATATACATTATTAGAGCACTTCCAACGATTTATTTTATAGATTTTTTGAGTCACAGTTAGGAGCTCCAGGAGGGTTTATTTGGCTTGTCAGGCCTCTGACCATTGTAACCCACCCATGACTGATATGTGTAGATACCGCTTGATGAGACACAGCTATTTATGTGATTAATTTGATTATATCATTCTCCGATTCCGAGTTATGAAAATTTGGTTAATATTGTAACTCTCAGTTATGATTTAGTGGAATACCAAACATTCCTTCCTTATCCACCAGGTGATCTGTAGGGAATTAGCTGAAAAGTGCAGGACAATTACTGTGGTATTAGCTATTTACAACACCTGATGTAAAAAGACAATTAAGGCTAATTCACACCAGGCCTATGGAAAGCTTTAGATAAATAATCAGGTTTTAATGCAAAGGGCTTTAAAAGTTCAAGGGACCAGCTTAGCAGATCTTAAGCTAGAATTGAGAATGTCTAAACAAACTATTAAGGCGCCCATACACCTTACAATTATCTGCAGATTTTCTGTGGTCAGATGGAAAAAGTGCAACAGATTGGCCCAGGTGGAGATTACTCCATCCACACAGTTAAGTGTAGATGGAGGAATCTGTTGCACCTTTTCCATCTGACCACAGAAAATCTGCAGATAATTGTAAGGTGTATGGCCAGCTTGACATTGGTCTACAAATTTTGGGGAATTATCGACCTCAGAGATAAAATGTGTTAATTCTTAGATATTTTGATTAGATGAATTAGAAAACAGGATTCAAGATATTTCACAATAAACATTTATTCACAGGCGAGTATATTTGCCTACAAGGGAGGGAGGTGTCTGATGATCATGATGCCTTGTAACTCCCCGACAAAGTACGGTAGAATAATGAAAATGGTACCACATGGAAGTGTATAAACTTAGCTTCACTTTGAGACTAAAGATTATTACCTAACTGTAGTTTATCGTTTTTTTATTGCAAGGTACATTTGTCTTGGTCAGATATACCCGTCATACAGTTACATCTGGTGGCTTGTGAAAGTGCCATTGCCTAACATTTCCAAGGAACAGTAATGTGATATTTTCAACGCAGATAACTTCTGCTACATTTGTGGTGAGATTACATTTGCATCTCAAAAGTGCAGTATGACGGCTGTGGTAAAAAAAGGCATGCCACCTATATTTTGGAAGCATAATAGGGGATCAAGACAAGAGTTGGGCCCCTCATTATTGTTGCATTACATGTGCAACTTATCTGGGTCATTGACTAAACAAGAAGAAAAATGGTGTGCAAAAAGCATGAAAATGTTACATGAAAAAACAATAAATGAATGGAAAGTTATGCTATTGGTATCAATAAAAAGATACATTTATAATGATTGATGTGGCACCATTCTCATTGCTATATCACATTTTGCAGAAAAGTTACGGAGCATAATCGCACATCCCCCTCGTAATTTTGAATAATTTTTTATGCAATTTTGACCTGAAGCTGTATCTTGTAAACTGGAGCCAATTAATACTCAGGACTTTAATTTTCCTTTATTAGGGACCCAATTCTGGTAAAATGTAGCTACTTTAATTTACGAGGCTTTCTCTTTGTAGACCAGTGTTATTAATATTATTATTATACAGGATTTATATAGAGCCAAACAGTTGGCGCACCGCTTTCCAGTTTAAGGAAGACATTACTGTTACAACACAAGTCAAGACAAGATGGTAAGGAGGGCCCTCCCCGTTTAAAATCTAAAATGTGATGAGTCTTTAGGGATTGCCTAAAGGCAGTCAGAGTGGGAGATAAATGGACAGGTTGGGTAAGTAGTTCCAAAGGATGGGAGATACTCTGGAGGCAAGCATGAAATGAGTTGATAAGGGAGCTAGAGAGCAGAAGGTCTTTGGAAGAGTGGAGGGGATGGTTAGGGTGATACTTTGAGACAAGGTTGGAGATATAGCCGGGGGCAGAGTTGTGGATGGCTTTGTAAGTGGTTGTAAATATTTTGATCCTTTGGGCGATTGGAAGCCAGTGGAGGGATTGGCAG